TCTTTGCACATGGAAATGGTCAAACAAGTGTTAAAAGTGGGTGGGGTAGGGTTACATTTTTATACATATTAAAAACATTTCTTTTAAAAACAATCATTTTGCTTGTTCAATTTGATACCTAAATGTCATTATTTGCTTCTTAACAATGAGCAATAGGAAAACAGTTTTCCTAATGATGATATTATAGATTATATAGAGTTTCCTCATTTCTGAAAAAAGCCCTTCTAACGGCAAAGTTTTAGTTCAGAAAAATGTCCATAACTCATAAACCTCACGGTAAATTTTGTTTAAATTTTGCATACAGGTGACATTTAAGGCATATAACTGTCCTATGTTGTCAATTTTACAGTTCCTTATAGTGCCCATTAGGGGTGTACTACCTTAAGATGTATATTTGACGTATTTGAGCCTGAAATCTTTACTTGATTGCGACTTTACTGTACAGGGTTGTTTCTAGCTACTGAGAGCTAACAATTAAGTAGGTTGGTGTGATATTCGGGTGTCTGTGGTTTACAACTGACCGATGCATTATCACTGACTCCACAGTTGGAAAATCAAACAGCCACAGTTATCCCGCTTGTGAATTACGGACAGGAAGTTTAATATATTCTAGGAACTAACAATCAAATTAAATTTGAAAGTGAAAGTTTGATAACTATTTTTCGACAGGTATCAATCGTTTTTAAATATATAGAATATGTTTTACTTTTTATGAATATTAGAAGGTTTTTGCAAAGGTTTTGATATTTCAATTTTAGTGAAACTGTGTAGCCTTAGAGCTAACGTTCTGTTTCAAATGAGCAAGTTTTATCATGTTAAAAGTACATAATGATGGCGCATGTCCAAGAATATTACGAGTTGCTATGATGTTGGGTTTTTAACATTAAAATCCAAAAATGCTATAAATTTGTAATTTCTAGATTTAAACATCAGATCTTGAAAAACTGAAATTGGAATAATTTCAAAGTCAGTGAGGAAAAAACTGCTTTTGACATTACACTTTTCGATCAAACAAAACTTTTGAGATTTAAGTTTCAAGTTTCATTTTTTGAGATATTTAAAAAAACATATTGATTTTTTGTTTTCAGAGCAGCAAATATAACAAATTTTAAATAATTTATCTTTGAACATTTTCTTTTTTGCCGAATCATTTATTAATTAATATTACTTTACTTTTGAATTTCAAACATCATGTGCTTTGTTTTTTATATTTTTTATTCGGATTTTTTTAATTTCATTTCACAATTTATTTATACCCATATGACTGAATTTATCATTACAAATTTGTGTAAAGCACTTAACAATGGTAAGAGGGCAAATGTCATAAATAACAAAAGGTACAGTTATTTTGCTACACTTATGTCATGTTATTTGGTGCTAAAGCGTATAAAGTATAAAAGTCGGACAATAATTATGTCCACTACATATCTTTAGCAATACACATGCCATTATAACTATTAAAAGTATTGATAAAATATACTTTATGTTTATTAATAACAACGTATTTACATAACACAACATGTATAAACAAACGATACTAATAAGAAACATTTGTACTAAACTAACGTGAGTAATTGATATGGTTTCAAAATATTTGGTAGGCATTTTTTCATATTAAAACCGATAAGGGAAATAAATTACCTATAACATGTCCAAAAGATTAATCGAAACTTTACTGTGGAGATGAACAGTTTGTTTAAAATCGATTTCCGCTATATAAAGAAAACCGTCTTATTATTTGAATAGATAATCTTTATATATAAAGAAAGCCAACTTTGAATAGATATCTTACAATGCATGCCAAATCATTTTCATATATAAGTTGTTTTGAAAGGAGTTACACACTACTTGTACAAATAACAGCAATTTTTTGTAGCACAAAATGCGTTTTTGTCACATTGAAGCCTTAACTTCCTTCTAATTCTGATTAAACAACACTCATTTCCAAATATACTTTTGTAGCATAACATGAAAAAAAGATAATTAACTGATGGCAACATAATTCAGTAAATATTATTTAAGATTTTAACATATTCTAAGTAACGGTTAAGGAAAGCCACTTTTTTATTCTTATATGAAATATCAAATTAATATGATAATGTATGTTTTTAGTTTTTGATTGAAATTGTTTGGTACTGTCATACAAGTATAGGCATTTATAATAAACAATGAAACTGTAAACATTAATAAAGGACTGCTTTGGTTAATCATTTATACATGTTTTAAACTCAATAGCGGTAATGCATGTACATACAAAAACAAAGAAGCGCCGAATAATATCATGCAGTGTATCGATACAGGGAAAGTATACAAAGATCCTAAATGATCATAACATATCACTTTTGCTCTTATTTACATGTGTTCTTTTGTTCGTTCATCATTGTGCCCGTCTGTCCCTGACATTTCATACTCAGTCAATTACTTTTTGATACATAAAGTTACATGCCGGGTCCACTAACAGTTCAATCTGAAATTTATTTGATAGGATTTTTTTTGTCTAGAACTTAAATTTGACACTCATATTGGGATTATTTAATGGCTTAATGAAGACGTTTTCAATAATATAGGAACAAGCTTTGGGGAATAAATTGCCTTTTTTACTTTTCTTTCATGATTTGATTATTAAAGAAGAAAAGGTCGCTGTAAATGTCGCTCCCTACATTCATTCAGATATGTTAATATATGTTTTATCCTTGAATATCGTTCAGCACGACATAATAAGTCGCCGGTAGAAACCGGCGACTATATTTGTTTAATATTATACCTATGGTAGGAGAAGGCCTTAAAATCTGTAAATAAAAGCATATCAATTACTCAACAATCAAAGATTACAATTATTTTCAGGAATCTCAAAAATTCAAACATACAATAACGATGCTCAATGAAATGAAATATTCAAATATTGACATCTTAAAAAGCAACATTACAATTTTTATAAAATGAATTAATGATGTATCCCTATGGATAAGTCATTGGATTTAGGGATACTTTTACTTTTTTCACAGTGTCAAGCGTTGCTATTTTATGATAAAGAAATCATGCATGATATTTGAAATGACACTTTAAATTATCTGGGTGTTTATATCTTATGATATCTATTCTTGTTTTATTATTTTATTTAGTTATAAACTATTTCTCCCTGTTTCTTTGTAAGAATCACGTGACTACACGTTGTATTTTATTGTTATAAAATCTATAAATAGTAACAAATGGCTGATAAGACAGACATACAGGTGAATGGCTGGCACAAGGTATAGAAGCTGATAAAGTGCAAATCAAAGTAATTATGTATGAATAATTACAAAATCTCGGTATGACTGTAGGGGGCCGGAGTCGTATTGGATACACAGAAAAACTAATTAACTATCTTTTTGTTGATAGTTTATCGCACAGAAAGGCAATTAAACGTTAACTATATCGAATGTAACAACGGGAATATTGATTTCAACTAAATTATTTATATTTTCGATAAGAATATTTTTTTATGCAGACACCACTGTTACAGTAGAATTTCATTGTTTTATGCAAAAATTAAGCATATATATTTTCATATTCACTTTGCAAATATTCGATGATCGGTAATTATTTGTCGGTAATTATCGGATTCTGAAGTAAACCATACGGATTTCAATGTATGGTACAACGGTATATGTATAAAGTAGAATTACAAGTAGAATTACAAGCATATCACTTGCTTTACAAGCCTCGATGACAAGGTGTTAGATTTTCATTTAGTTTCAAATTGAAGACTGTATGTTCGATAAAGTGATTTTTTATGTTTTCTTTTATGATATTTTTTGTATTTTGCAAAACTTTACCATTTATCAAAATTATGAAATAAAAAAGTGCTAGAAATGAAACACACGATTTATCAATTTATGTGTTTCATACAGTTAAAAGATATAATAAAAATCATTTTATGAAAAGTACAAACAGGATTTGTCCAAGATTCGAACTTGCCCCTACTAGGTTACATGCAACTTCGTCATACTAACCACAACGCCATCGAGCAGTATTAATTGATATATACATATAATTATACTTACAATAAAGTCGTTAACATTAATCATAATAAGTTATGAAAACTAACGAAACACCTCCCGGAAATTAATGAGTCTCGGGTAAATATTGCTAAACAATACTTGCTTATTTAATAATGATAACAGTTTCTTGACAAATTTTGCTTCAAATTTGATGTTTTATTATAACATAACATCAATTTAGTGCATAAAACTCTTTTACAAAGTTTATAGCAAGAAAGATATAATTGTTGCAAGTACATGACAACGTGTTTATGAATAAACATTACTCAACTTATTGTTCCTCCTTTCATTATACTCAAACCATTAAACTGATATTTTCTTTTATTTATGATAATACAATCATATTTCTATCCGGAGACTTGATGCTTTAGCATCAAAAACTCTACTTGTTATTGTGTTTGTGGTATTTCTAGTGCCTTCCATTTGATATTTTTCTGTGTAGTTCTAGTATTCCTACTTGATTATTGTATCACTTCAAGGATATGTTGCCTACTTTTTAAATATTTCTTTTTGGCGGCTTGTTAGTGATATGCAGGCTTATTAACCTTGATCGTCTTTCAAAATTCAATTTCATTAAGTTTTACCGTCGTATGAACACAAGTGCAGACGTTTCTTAATTTGAAAAAATCACAAATTCATGTTAATGTCGCACGAACGCTCAGACAAAAACAATCAATACAAAAATACGCTTGTATTGGTGTTCAACACAGCTTTTAATGACTAATTTTTTGCAATATTTAAGTATATTTTGGTGAACTTTATGTAATACTGTATGAACAATGTATCATGTTCTGATAAATTGGTCTAATTGAGAAACAATTTCAAAGTCCATTGAACTAAACATAGACTAAGAGCAAGCCGTGTCAGAAAAAAGCTAACACACTCTTCACTGGGACTGTGATGAATGACTACTAAAACCAATTTTAATACAAATCATTGACAGTAGGTTACAACTTCATAAATGTTTATTTTAAGGAAAGGCTGAAGAATGAGTTCCGTACTAGTAGCAGCGATTGATTTCGGAACTACATATTCCGGATGGGCATTTTCTTTCAAGCATGACTTTGATAAGGATCCAACAAAAGTTTCCGCCAAAAATTGGATCGGCGATAAACTCGTCTCGGCAAAAGGTATATTTCATCATTTACAGTTTATTTCTAATAGTGTAATGACATAAGTCAAAATTTAGGAAGATGCCATGCCTCATAACTATAGAAAAGTTCAATCAATAATAATAAACTATTCGAGTTATTGAAATTGTTTTATCTTTTAAAAATTGCCAAGAGTTTTCTTTACTATGCAGTACTTAAATAATGAACAAGGATAATGATGTTGTGTCCGTGTATGTTTTTGGTATACATGTTTACTGTTTTATTTCATTCCATCAATTTATACATTTCTAGCACCAACATGTGTTCTGATTAAACCGGATGGGAAAACGTTGGATTCATTTGGATATGCTGCAGAGACCAAGTATGCGGAACTTGCAGAAGAAGGAGCTCACGAGCCATGGTACTACTTCCGGAGATTTAAAATGATGCTTTATGATCAGATGGTAATCTTTATAATCTTTTCTTTGATAGTGCATACTTAGATATGTTTACATTAATTTAGCATGTTTGCTAGAATTTGCATGCAATGTGATGTCGAATTTTTCTGTTTGTTTTGTTGGGTTTTAATTCTTACCGGCACCGTAATGTTTACGTGGAAACTTTCCAGCTCTACATTATTGAGGCACTAGTTGGCTCATGCATTCCACACCGAACGCTTTATGGATAGCTTCCAAACAGTCCAGGGTCTCTGATGAGATTCGAACCTTAAGCGGTGCGTGGCAGGCGCTGTGTGATGAGATATAAATATTACTAGTATTAAATATCCAGGAATGTTTCTTTAGAAGTTGTGTCTTTTCTTGAAAACGAAATCATACATAGACCAATTCCAAGAAACGTAATATTCATCTTTGATGTCTTTATTGTTACACACGAATTATGTTTGTCCATATCTTTCTCAAGATAAAAATGTCAACCTGTTTCGATAAAACAGGTGTGTTTGTGAAAATGTAATAACATTTCAGGGATTTCATCCAACCATTGAAATGATAATGCCTATCATGCATTCCTCAATTTGGCCAGTGATTAATTAAAATTATCAAGACACAAAATACCTGACACAAAATCCCTAATTTTAACATGGCTCTGTAGCATACATGTCACGACTTTGAATACATCCAAACATCATTAAATATAGGTAAATAACAAGTCTTACATTTAGGGAAATATATAATGTGAAACGACCTAACAATGATAAATTTATAATTTACATATTATGCTAAAATTTGTTGGCATTTATATTAAGAAATCATTTACAGAACTTCCTAAGTTCATTTTCTAAATATTATGTTGCATTTGTTTTGAAAACAAACTGAAATAACTTTAAAGGAGTATCTCAAGATAAATGCAATATCACAAAATCAATCACCTTAATGTAAAGATATGAAACATATCCCTCTTGATTTATTTCTAATTCAATAGTAGTTAGAATACAGCTTGGTATAGAATTGTCATGGAAACGGCAGATTCTTTTTAAAACACTCATCCGTTTCGATTATAAAAAAACACATATTTATAATTTAGAAAATGCGAAGACACGTCATGCTTGAAGATGAAACAGGAAAACAATTACCTGCAAAAACAGTGTTCTCACTTGCAATTGATTTTCTGAAGCGAGATCTTCTAGAAGATTGTCACAAACAACTAACAAATGTCTTAACAGAAGATGATATTAAATGGGTTCTAACAGTGCCTGCAATATGGAATGATGGAGCAAAACAGTTTATGAGAGAAGCGGCGGAACAAGTCAGTTAAAACGATTATATTTTTAAAAGAAGCATAATTATGTACAAGTTACTTATCTCTTACATGTTGGTAAATTAATACTTTTCTACAAAATCTTTATCAAGCGTCAATTCAATAACTTTTTTATTAAAAAAACATTAAAAATATCAACTTTTTAAAACAACAATAAAAACTATTTAACACGTTGGTATTCAAGGATCAAAGTTAAAGATTGCACTTGAACCGGAAGCAGCTTCCCTTTACTGTCGATATTTACCCGTTCAGAAAGGCCATGAAGATAAATCCTTAGCTTCATTTGAACCGGGGACGAAATATATTGTCTTAGATGCTGGAGGTATGTCTTTCAATTAGATATTATGAAGAAATTACTTTACTACCCCTACCGTAATCGCAACTTAACTAAGTTTCGAAACAAGCGCTGTGACAATTTAATTGTCCCCCTCCTATTCAAAGAAAAAGGAGGATATAGAAAAAGGCTTCGTCCGTCTGTCCGTTCGTTTGTCACAATTTCGTGTCTGGTCCATAACGATGTCATTTATGAAAGAAATTTGAAATAACTTGGCGCAAATATTTGTTATAATCACACGATGTTTCATGCGCAACAACTGGACCCCTACCTCCAAAGCCAAGGTCACACTTGGTGATTACTGGTCAACATTGTCTATTTGAGGACATTTGTCATGTCCTGTTCATAATTTCTTAACCATGAAGGATTTTGAAAATACTTGGCACAAATGTTCACAATAATGGGACGATGTGTCATGTGCAAAAACCAGTCGCCTACCTACAAAGATAAGTTCATGTTGGAGGTCAAAGATTAACATAGTCTGTAATAGAGTATATTTTGTGTCTGGTCCATAACTTCTTCATAGATCAAAGGAGTTTGAAGCTATTGCCACATATGTTCACAATAATAAGATGATGAGTCATGAGCAAAAACGTATAGCCTCTCTTCAAGATCAAGGTCACAGTTGGAGGTCAAAGATTAGCATGAAACATCTTCTAATGGGTGTCTACCAAGTTTGTTCAAATAAAAGCCCTGGTGTTAAAACAGGCCCCGCTCCGAAGGGCCTATATACAGGTCGCGGGCTTAGCGCAAAACGGTTGTAACTCAATTCAAGCAAATTTTACAGGAGCATGAAAAAACTTTTTAAAACTTTTGTTAATGAATAAAAATGTTTTATTTTAGGAAAATATATACATTTTAGTTAAGGAATTAGAAACAAAATAATAAAAAAGAAGCAAATTATTTTTTGAAAAAAGATATTTGAATAAGTTCAAGTTTAATTATTCTCTTTGTGCAAAACGGAAGTATCTCAAACTCATATCTTTTTTATAGGATTTAATAATTGGATAAAATAAAACATTACTTCTAAATCACATAAAATATATGTAGCCATTATAAAATAAGATTATAAAATAAGTGCAAGTCATATTTTGAATGATGAAAATAATGAAAGTAAGAATAATCAGTGATAAGTTTGAAGAGAATGAATGTCCTCAATAGAGAATAATATAGCCTATTCCACTTTATTTAGAAATATATTAAGGGATAAGCTAAAATTATTTTTGATGGTTAATTATAAACGTTATTCTATAGAATGGTATAAATCTTAGACACATGTACATGTATTTCAAAATAAAAAGTAAGGTTTAGCCACCCTTTCAGCTCCTGGGCATTTAATCCTTACCCCAATTGATATTATAAAATTATAATGGACTTCAGTTTTAGTAAAATCATTCAAAATCTTTTAGATTTCAAAATGTTTTAAAGGATAATTACGCTGGCTCTACCTGAGGAACAACCGTAACTCTGCCGGCAACGTTTGGGATGATCCGGGAACATCCGGCATTCGACCCTGGATGGAATAAAATATCTAATATCACCGGGGTGGTCCGGGATGATCCGGGAAGTATAGCTTTGCCGGCTTCATCCTAAGCTCTGCCGGGAACGACCAGGGTTACACCGGGGAAGCACCGTAGCTCTGCTGGCACAAACCGGGGATGACCCGGGCATGATATAGCCAGTAGAGCTTCGGTAGAGCCCCGGTGAATACTGGCAGAGCCCCGGTAAATGCCGGCAGAGCCCCGGAGGACGACGATGGAGCTACGGTTGATCCAGGTGGATCTCAGCCCCGGCAATGCCCAGTTCATTTCAAATGAATCGCGACAATTTGCAAGAATTGCACTTGTTTGTATTAAAACCCTTCCCATTTCCCTTCTATCCAGTATTGCATAAGGATTTTTCAGAAAATCATCATGAATTACTGTTCTGGAACAAAAGATATTATATTAAATAAAAATTATGTATCAATGTTATCATTTTCGCACGTTTTCAATCTACCGGGGGTCTGCCTGGATCGACCGGGGAAGCACCGACATGAACTGTAGCTTTACCTGGGCTCTGCCTGGATAGTCTGGAGCGTATCCTGGTTGGTTAGTTGGGAATTACCGTAGTGCTGCCGGGGTTAGTGTGACCGCAACAATAATTTCACTAGGGATTGTCCCGGTTTATCCCGGTAACTTACCGGGTTGGTCCTGGGCTCTGCCAGGAGTAAGTGAGACCACAGCTTAAAATTGATGAGTGCTGATAAATCAATTTCTACTTGTTATACCTTGCAATTTTAGTTATAATATCAATTACATGTACTTTTTCCTTCTATGAAGTTCATAAAATCTTAGAATACATTTAAATTACCTAAGCCCACTGACCAGTTCACATTAAATTTGCAGAAGTTGTACAAAAAAATTTTCTTTTACTTTTGGGCATATTTTGGTTGGTAATATTGTCCAACAATATTGTCCTTGATCTCCATTAACTTTCATAAAGGTCATTGAATAAACACTTGTACTAAAAGAATATATTGATATAGTTGTTATCTTCACATGTCAGTAAGGTGAGGTATATTTGTATAGATGCCGGGCTACTGATCTGAAGGTCTCTGGTTTGGTTCCTAACCAACACTGCGTTATGAAGTCAAACTTCTTGTGTTTTTTTTTACTTAATTATTGCAAGAATTGAATTAATTTGAAATTGTTTGAATATATCTACTTTTAGGATAACTTTTAAGTAGTGTGGTGTTTCCTTTTATTTTATCAAGATGTTTTCGTAAGTACTCGGACATACGGACATTGGACAATCGCAAGTTTTTCTCTAGAATGCATATTTTTCAATGGTTTCTTGGTGACATTATGCAAACGTATATGGTTTAGTACATACTCGTACACACTACAGATGTAGTTAATAAAAAGTACACAGATAATATACAAAAAAAAAATGATTTGCACGAGTTATTAGAGAAGGGCAATTTTAAAATTAAAAGAAATAAAGTGGCTAAACCAGGATTCGAATCTACGAGTTTATAATGTCTATAATGTCTTGAAGCACTGTCTTTATTATTGCTTTATTATTGCTTGCGCTAAGAGGGATTCTTAATTAAGACCATTTTTTTTCAAACTTTTTATTTTCATCTTAGGTTTACATCAAGTAAACAACATAAGCATCGTTTTATAATAATTACAGTGAATAATGACGGCATATTAACAAGTGCTATGTAAATAGAGAATGACAAACATATCCAAATCATACATGTAATATTACAAATAAACATACATATAGCAAAAAAAATTTCAAGTAAACAAGCAATCCAGGCATATCAGTGTTACAAATTTTTAGATATAATTTCGATAAAAATACTAAGTTTATTCAGTAAACTTTTATTTTCACTACTAAACAATTCTTCTAATTTGAAAAAATTGGGATTAACATAAAAATACAGTTTTAAATACTTTTTTCTTTTCTCAAAAACTTTTGACATTTGAACAAATAATGAAATTCGTCACCTACATCAGCATTACAAAAGGAACATTTTCTTTCAGAAGAAGGTATACCCTGCCATCTTCCTGTTTCCACAGGTAGCCTATGATTTCTAGTAAAAAACGCATAATTGATAAGCTTCGTCTAGATGACAAAATCTTGATATAAGCACTTCTACCAAACTCAGTTTTAATACCTTTGTAAATATTCGTGTTTGATGTTAATTGTATATCAGAGCGCCATTTCTGTATAAAATTATCTTTTAACTTTCGGCAAATTGACCCAATCAGCCATTTCTCATTTAAAAAGCTCTGACAGTACCATACTCCTGAAAAACCTGAAGAACATAACAAATTTCTAACATTTTCGATCCATTGGGACTTAACATTGTTTATGTCAACATTTCAATTTGTTGTATCTTTGCCTGAAGAAGTTTTCTCTGTTTGATAATTTTCAAGAATAACAACTACACTTTGAAATTGAAATGGCCATTTAATAATAAATGACGGAAAAACATATAAATACAATGTTGATATGAAAGTTATCAAAACTAACATAAAATTGTGAAAATGGCCATTTAATAATAAATGACATATAAACATATAAAACAATGCTGATATGAAAGTTTATATATATAACATAAAATTGTATACAAAGCAAGCAAACATTTCCTGAAAAAATGTATATAAAATTATATACACACATATCCCGAAAAATTATCAAAGGTTGGGTTCTAAGAATATTGCCTTGCCTAAAAACTGTGTATGAAATTAATATACACACATATCTTGAAGTGAAAAGAAAAATCATTTGTATATAAAATTATAAAAAAAACACAAAACCTTTTTGATGTTTATAGCTTGTCAAAAAAATTGAATACTGAATGTGGGTGGGTGGATGGTGGGTTTATTGAAAATTGTTATGAATTAATTTCTTCTTCTAAAATGGCGGACTTAATCAGCATCAATTATCACATTGTACTTACTCATAACGATAACCTTAGTGTACTTACTAGTACGGCTTTTTCGAACCCAATATATTTCGACCTATGACTAAAGACCTAATGAAACCCACCATCAAGCTTGTAAGTGACCATAAAAACATTTATTTTGCAATAAATTAAGTTTTAAAGTATCCATTTCATATAACATGCTGTAAACCTTACCAGATAGTTTGTCGGTATTTTCGCTCGAACAATTTATTAGTTTCGTCCAAAAGGATATATTTCTTTGGTATATATCAATACGAACTGGAAAAATTCCAAGTTCACCATATACCATGTATGAAGGTGTTGATTTCTTAAGTTTAAAAATATATTTGTAAAACTTTAATTGAACTTTTTCAATAATATCAACATTTCCAAACCCCCAGATTTCACATCCATAAAGTAAAACTGGCTTTACCAGTTTATCAAAAAGATCAATCTGTTATTCGTATGGTAAATTTAAATGTTTATTTTTTTTCAAAAGTGAAAACAATGCTTTATTTCCTTGGTCTGCTATGTATTTCTTCGTTGA